GCATCATCGTGAGGTCTGTCGAGATCTGATGTCTCGCTCTCCCAGAAAAAATCTTAGTGTTGGATTCGGGATTGGGAGGCTTAGATTGAGATTTAGAAACAGCCTTCCACACATGGCTCTTGATTGAATTAACTGAGTCTTGACATATATCGGAGCCTCCGAGGATATAATCCACTCTCGAGCTGGGGCTCAAATGAGGCGGTGGTTTGCTTAGGAGGGTCTCGATTTGTAGACTCTTCCCTTGGGGAAATTTCCAAAGAATCATGTCAACTCTTTTCTTGGGAGCTTGATGTGGCGAATATGTTTCTTTCTCAGGTGATCTTTCACGTTTTGGAGAGGTGTCTCTGGGACCTCTTTTCTGGTAAGGAGGTGGTTTTTGAGTTCCACGTCCTTTAGTTCCCCAGCTACGAATTTAGCTGCCAACTGTCGTTGGAGGTCCCAGCATTCCTCGGTTGAATGCCCTTTTCGATCGTGGTAAGAGCAGTGTTTGTTCTCATCGTAGCCTTTTGACTAGGGGGTTTTGCTTGTCGCAGCAACAGGTTTTTCCTGTTGGACTTCCTCGACAGCATAAGAATGTTCTCCCTTGGTCTGATTATTCCGGGAGCTCCCTCTTCTAGAGGATCCTTTTGCTTCCGAGGTTTCACCTTTCGGGTGATTCTGGGATTTCATATGGATTTTATCCAGTGCAGTTGTTTCCTCATCCAAGGTAATGTATCTTGATGCTTTGTGAAGAGCATCATCGATAGTTGGGGAAGGGTTAAGCGTTAGCTCGGACCAGAATTCTGATTCGTACCAGAGGCCTCTTCTAAGGGCTTCGATGACAACTTAATCGTTGGGGTTCGAGAGCTTAGTTCTGACTGCTCTGAATTTCTCGATGTAGATTCGTAACGAATCTCCCATTCCTTGCCTGATTTTCCAGAGGTCAGCCTCGGAAGCTTGCTTGAGGATATGGGTTGAGTATTGCTTCATGAAGGCGTTGGTCGAAGTTATCTATTGAGTTTGGCTCGAGGCTTGAAAACCATTTGAGAGCTGTTCCGACCAGGTTCTCAGCAAAGGTTCTGCAATAACCTGCTTCACATTCTTCTCTTGTGAAGTGAGCTTTCACTATAGCTAAGCGGAAGGCTCTCAAATGAGCCTTAGGGTCTGAGGTCCCGTCATATTCGGGGATCCTAATTTTTTGGGTATCTCTTATGTAAGAGCTAGCGATTTTGTTTGTGAATGGGGTTCCATGGGTTTCCTCAATCAAGCTCTCGATTTCGGGAGCTGAGCTCGTTGCTTTGTGTACTTGAGCGTTCAACTTTTGGAGAGCTGCGTAAGTTTGCTCCATGTATCGGCGAATAGCCTCAGGTCCTTATAGGGGAAGGACGGTTGGGTCGTCATGATCAATCTGATGAGGAGATTCTTGATGGAGTTGAGCGTCGTTGTTCTCCCAAGCGTTAGGTGGGCTAAATCGCTCGCTAGCTCTAGGGCCACCTTGAGGGACGCGACCAGGGGGGTGAGCTGTAGGATCAGCTTATGTCCTCTGGTGGCTGTCTCGATTAGGGATCACGCTCCCATTTTGGTAAGCTGAATCTGGTGCTCTTCCCCTAGGAGGGAAAGACATTCCTTCTCCGGACCTAAAAATAGGTGGCGGAGGCGGTAATCGTGTGCTCTGTTCGGGAACCCTATTGGGTGCAGAGCTTGTCGTCGCTACGTTACTTCCCATAGCGCTAGTTATAGGTGGACTGAATACTGGGGTTGTCTCAGTATGAGGTGTCCGGAGAACAGGCTCTTGCCCATCACGAGCAGTGCTGTTTGGGGGAAAATCCAGGCGTCCGCGAGGGAAGGTGGATTCGGTCAGTCGGTCTCGGAAGGTGACTCCCGATCCTTGGCGTTGCGACAGATGAGTCGTCTCGGTTAGAGATCTAGTCACTTCCTCGAACCTTTGCTGTCGGGCGGTTAGCTGCTGCAACATGCGCTCGTTATCCTGAGCTCTTTCTACCAATTGCACCATCATTCGACGCATATCGGATAGCTGAGCTTCCGAATGATTAAGTGCGGGTTGACGCTGAGGGTTTTCGGGGTGTGTAACCCCCGAGTTGTTCCCACTGGAAGATCTTGGGTTGGTTATTCCAGTTTGGTTTGATTGAGCATTAGCCGGAGGCTGTTGCTCGGATCGGTGATCGGCGGATTGAGGTTCCGGATTCTGGGGATCCGGGTCTCTCCTGTTCGGTGAGCCGTCGATCTGGATCACGGGATCAGGGATGGATGGGCTCGTTGCCGGGTTGGATGGATGGGCTCGTTGCCGGGTTGGATGGATCCATTCTCAAGTTACGGAGTGAAGGATTCAATTATCTCGATCCCCTCAGACGGCGCCAAAATGTGAGGGATAAAACTCACTCTCTAGTTTAGGTTAGGTTTAGATTGGGGAAAAGACAATCGTGGGCTGAATCCTGTTAGAACTTGTGTGAATGAATACGTTTGTTTATATTGATTTTGATAAGAAAATGAGTTTACAAAGATGAACTTGATGATCAAAAGTACAAATGACGAATTGAGATGATTAAAATGAAGGAAAAATGTCTAAGTCTTTAGGTCTCCAAAAATGAGTTCCGAAGGTCCCCATCTTCTTCATCTTGCTCCTCTTTAAATAGCCTCAAGGCACGTTTGACTGGTCCTAACCAACCTCCGAGATTTGCTCCGTGAGTTGGGGGATTCTCAACAGCCTCCTTTTGACCGGGTCCTGCGCAACCGGCCTGATCTTCTCCCGTTAGCTCTTCGCAAATGAGGTCCGGAGCTCTCCTCCGTGACCTGTTTTCATGGCGTTCTTTCCTTAGCAAACAGCCTCCGGCTTCTTTCTAACTCTTTTCTCGAGATGTAATTGCTAATGGGCTTCATAAGGGCCCATTATCGGTTATTCTTATTCATGCATGTCATCTTAAGCTAACGGGTCATATTTGGGCCCAACAGTCTCCATTCTCATCGGTAGTGAGAATAATAGGCGCTACCATGTGTCGCCGGTTAGTATCGATTGATGTAAGATGAGGTATATCGATCGATGTCGGGTGAAGGGTATCGGTCGACGAACGGCAGTTGATGTCGAGCGATGTGATGGTGAGAATATCGGTCGATGTTGAAGGTGTCTCGGTCGACTGTGGTAGGCAAGTATCGGTCGACAGGGATGTGTTGATGTCGATCGATGAGGAGCGTATGTCTTTTCGGATGCTACGTTCCAAGCCGTGAGGATCTTCTGAGTACAAAAGGTGTTTGTTCTTGTTGCTTCTAGTACTGTTGGGCATGTACCTGAAAAAAGACAAGAAAAATTTTTGGTGTCAGAAGATAGTTTAAACAATAAAAGAAAAGTAACCTAGACCTAATCATATTAAATCTAATGTTTATCAAACTTCCCCGGCAACGGCGCCTAATTTGATATCACTCAAATGTTTAACCCTAAGAAGTGAATTACTCTCTCAAATAAGATGTTCAGTTGTAGTACTTAGGGATCGAATCCACAGGGAACTAAGGAACACAATAGATGTAATCCTAAATGATTATGCTAGGTTGATTAGGTTTAAAATTGTAAATTGCAGTTTTGTAAGCAATGATAAGTTGCTTAAGAGAATGGGTTTTAGGTTTTAAAACAATAAAAGAAAGTAGTTAGATTCAAGGTTGCTATTCAGATAATTAGGATTACAATGCTATAGATGTTTTAATGAATTGCTTGCAAGATATATGAGAACTTTGATTCTTAGATAGATCTAATAGCAATCGTTAAACAGACACATCCATTGATCTTATTGCCGGCAATATCGGCCAATGGTACGATTGCCAGATCGGACGATATAGGTTGCCGTCGATCGATAACTCTATAGGAGTATCGATCGATATAGCATAAGATCGAATCAAAACTGTGTTCACCAAGATCATAGACCGGCTCTCGCACAATCCTAGAGGATCAAAGCTCATTCCAAATGATTTCAGGACAATGATTAACAAGTTAAATCACATCCATGATCATACTCTAGGTATCTAATCTAGAGTAAGCATTAGGGTTCATTTGGATAATGAATATCAACAATTCAACATTCCATAGTTGGGGCTAATCCCTCATAACTATTTGAACCCTAAATCTAAAAAAGAATTCTACTCAGACATAGCTGAGAGATTCATAACAGCTAAGTAATAATAGAAACTCATAGATTAGAGGACTGAACTTTTGGTTCTTGGAACAACAAATCTCTTTGTGTGTTTCCTCTAAATCTAGAATTCTATAACCTTTAAGATATTAAGATGAAAAAAATACTTTATAGAATAGAACAAAGTAACAAGAAAAGCATGCAAAGCTTTTCAAGTACAAAAAGAACTAGAACAATAGAAACATTCAAAAAGCATGAAAAGCATGTCTAGCCAAACACAATGGAAAAAACTATAACTAAGAGTTCCATTAGGTTTTCGTCAGGGGCATTATTGTAATATTGGAAAGACTTGGGCTTTAAGTCGGCCAAGTTGGACTTGTTCTCCACGCATCATATCGATCGATGGTACATGGTGTACATCGATCGATGGAGTATCTCGACTTCATCTTCAGTAGAAGCGTCATCGATCGATTACACAGGGTGTGTATCGATCGATATGTATCCTTATTGTCTGATCTTCATAGTCATCTCGGAAAACTCTCCTTAAGCTCCAAAAGGGCACCTAAATCATCACTTTACTCCAAAATGCTCCTGAACCTGAAAACATACCTAATAGACTCCAAAAAATATATAAAACTCATAAAAACATATTAATACCATGGCTAAAAGCGGGTCAAAATCATGGTATATCACCGGAAAAGGACCACACCATGTTTATGTCCTAGCAAATGAACATGTAAGTACAAAATCATCATCTCTCAAGTTTCTAATAACAACAATGGAAAATATAAACTCGCTCGTTGAACTTATTTATGCAGGGAACCAAGATGGAGATGGCCATCTATGATATATATGGAGATAGGTTTAGAGGCCTAGAGAAGCAAGAGGGAATGTGTGGAAATCTTTATTGTAGAAGTTGGCCGTGCCCATTCAGGTTTCAAGGTAGCAAAATCAAAATCTACACTAACTGCTACTGGCGATACCCAAATCCACATCATCGATCCTCTGAACCATCAACTTTACTTTGAGTTCAAAGGCATTCATGAAATCTCTCACATGAGCTACAAGGAGAGAAATTTTTCCATAGGTATGAATTCTAACTAATAAATATATTTCATATGTAAGTAACGGAATAGAATATACTTATCTGGTAGATACAATGGGAGTGGTCTTTAAGACGGAAGCCCATTTTGATGATCCTGAAGGACCAAAGATGGTGTTTTACATAAGGGACAACATGTAAGTATTAAGTAACATATGATCGAAACAAAATGTTTCAATTAGTGTAATTGACTCACCTTGTTTTATTCATGATAGTGAGAGTCAGATAAAATGTGTAGCAACTGGGAAACATTCTTATGCCTTCCGGGAAGGGTTTGAAAACAGGGGAGGTCGTCGACAGGTGATTGTGGTCCTTAAGATGTGGAGGGTCCGCGCCTATTTTTGTAAGTGAAGTTTATGCTTATGTGTTCAGGTTTAGATGTGTTAGTTGACTGAAACCTTATCTAAACTCATTTATACAGCTTATTCTGGCCTATAGAAGAATGGCTTCAGACCGAGGGGAACTTATCTGACTTGAGGTTCAATCCGCGCTTGCCGGAGGTATAGGAGTTCAGACAATCGGTCAATAACAGTGACCCTTATGTTCAGAAGTACGGAGCTATAGGGCCTTTGTAAGGTTTTATCTAATGTATTAGTGTTTCTGAAACTTGGTTTGTGATGTTGAACTGCGTTAATGTGTATTAAAAAATGGTTTTCTTAACCTTTGTATTTGTCCAAGTGCGTGAACCTAAGAATAACTTCAAGTTAACATGAAGTCCGTGTTCGTATAGCCAGGTCAAATTTGTGTTAGGTTCAATTTCTCAATTGTCCAACATCGTTAACATTTGAGAAACTTTTAAGTTTACCAAACTTCTTAGTAGTTGAACTTAACTTGAAAGTTGGTGTTCGTATAACCAGGTCAAATTTTTTGTTAGGTTCAATTTCTTGATTGTACAACATCGTTAACATTTGAGAAACTTTTTAAATTGACCATACTTCGTAGTAGTTTAAGCTCGCATAATTTAGGAGAAATTTAGGAAAAACTTAGACAAACATAATGTTTAACTTCGCTTAAATTACAAAAAACTTAGACAAAACTGAATGTTTGACAAATTCACTAGCTTTAGGAATCAATCATAATTCAACCGAGAACTAGAACGACAATGATGATACTAACAACACAACATCCTGATATCATTATCTTAGGCATTATTTTGGGACCTTCACTGCTTATTATTGCTTTGAGCAATTGAACTTCTTCTTCTAGCATTCGAACTTGGTACTCCAACTGTTCAATCTCATCGGTGAAAGCTTCGTCGACCCATTTGAAGACGTGATCGTCCTTCTCGAGCTACAACCTTCCAAAATTTTGTTCAAAATATTTAAAAGAACAACCCTTCGATAACTAAAGCTCAACGGACGTTAACTTCTTTTTTGTCGCATCGAGACACCGATAATACTGTCGATATGTAATTTGGAACGGATTTAGAGATGAGATAGGTGATGCTCTCCCCGCACCAACACCTCTTAGGTTTCCTCAGAATTCTTACTCTTCGTCTCCGACCACCGGTCGTGGAATATGAAGCGGACGTAATTGGGCTCGAAATTGTGGGATTTCTGTTGAGAGAGAGAGAGAGAAAGATAGATATAGGGAAGAGGGAGAAAGTGAAATCTAGAGAATGTGGGAAAACACAAAAGTAAGAGTTTTAGTACTAATTGGATTGGGAAGGAGGGAAAGAGTGAGATTAGAAATTCGAAAAGATGGTGGGAAGGAACTTTTAGCCTTGTATTTTCGTGATTGAAGTTTCACCAAATTTACAGTTTTACAGAAAACATCAAAGTTATACTTTATATTTTTTTTCCATTTATCTTGGTTTTACTCTATTACAATGACTGATTTTATGGTTATATCAATTATGTTCTGTATACTAGATTCATTTTTCATTTTTCCATTTATACATAAACTCGATTTCATTACATAGCAAGATTTCAAATGAGACAAGCTGAATATTAACGAAAAACATATAAGAAGACAATGTAATGACATCATGATTACTAATAACCAACGAGATTTTTTTTGTTCGTCGACCCATTTGAAGACCTGATCGTCGTTCTCGAGCTACAACCTTCCAACATTTTGTTCAAAATATTTAGGAGAACAACCCTTCGATAACTAAAGCTAAACGGACGTTACCTTCTTTTTTTTTCGCATCAAGACACCGATAATACTGTCGATATGGATTTGGAAGGGATTTAGAGATGAGCTAGGTGACGCTCTCCCCGCACCAACACCTCTTAGGTATCCCCAGAATTCTTACTCGTCATCTCCGACCACCGGTCGTGGAATATGAAGCGGACGTAATTGGGCTCGACATTGGGGGATTTCAGTTGAGAGAGAGAGAGAGATAGATAAAGGGAAGAGGGAGAAATTGAAATCTAGAGAATGTGGGAAAACACAAAAGTAAGAGTTTTAGTACTAATTGGATTGGGAAGGAGGGAAAGAGTGAGATTAGAAATTCGAAAAGCTGGTGGGAAGGAAATTTTTAGCCTAGTATTTTCGTGATTGAAGTTTTACCAAATTTTCAGTTTTACAGAAAACATTAAAGTTGTACTTTATAATTTTTTTCCATTTATCTTGGTTTTACTCTATTACAATGACTGATTTTATGGTTATACCAGTTATGTTCTGTATACTAGATTCATTTTTCATTTTTCCATGTATACATAAACTCGATTTCATTACATAGCAAGATTTCAAATGAGACAAGGTGAATATTAACGAAAAACATATAAGAAGACAATGTAATGACATCAAGATTACTAATAACAAACGAGATTTTTTGTGTTCGTCGACCCATTTGAAGACGTTATCTTCGTTCTCGAGCTACAACCTTCCAACATTTTGTTCAAAATATTTAAGAGAACAACCATTCGATAACTAAAGCTAAACGGACGTTACCTTCTTTTTTCGCATCGAGACACCTATAATACCGTCGATATGGATTAGGAACGAATTTGGAGATGAGCTAGGTGATGCTCTCCCTGCACCAACACCTCTTAGGTATCCCTAGAAGTCTTACTCGTTGTCTCCGCCCACCAGTCGTGGAATATGAAGCGGACGTAATTGGGCTCGACATTGGGGGATTTCAGTTGAGAGAGAGAGAGAGAGAGAGAGAAAGATAGATAAAGGAAAGAGAGAGAGAGAGTGAAATCTTGAGAATGTGGGAAAATGCAAAAGTAAGAGTTTTAGTACTAATTGGATTGGGAAGGAGGGAAAGAGTGAGATTAGAAATTCGAAAAGCTGGTGGGAAGGAAATTTTTTGCCAAGTATTTCCGTGATTGAAGTTTCACCAAATTTGCAGTTTTACAGAAAACATCAAAGTTGTACTTTATAAATTTTTCCATTTATCTTGGTTTTACTCTATTACAATGACTGATTTTATGGTTATACCAGTTATGTTCTGTATACTAGATTCATTTTTAATTTTTCCATTTATACATAAACTCGATTTCATTACATAGCAAGATTTCAAATGAGACAAGGTGAATATTAACGAAAAACATATAAGAAGACAATGTAATGACATAATGATTACTATTAACAAACGAGATTTTTTGTGTTCGTCGACCCATTTGAAGACGTGATCGTCGTTCTCGAGCTACAACCTTCCAACATTTTGTT